CTTTTCTCGCCAGCCATTTTACCAATTCTGACACCAGCATCCTTCCATTGCACCTTGCTGCCATGTCCATTCAGAACTCACAAACCATGTTCACAGTTATGACATTTGTTGAAGAGGTAACAGGTTACAATTCATTATCCATCAGGACAGATTCTTCTTAGCCACACCTGAAGGCAAGCCTATCTTGGCCCTTGATGCCTCAGCTTTTGGCCTCTATCCTGCTTGGGCAAATGTTAGAAAGTTCTTTAGCTTCACCAATAAGTGTCGGGAGGCAGTCCACTTTGCCAGTAAACTTGGTTCAAAGGTACTCAGCTTTCTTGTTCTGTGGGTCGGCTGCCCACAGTAGCTGCCTCACTCTGTGAGCTGGGAAGCCCAGAGCACCATCCTGGTTCTGCTGCTCCTGCTGTTTTTCTACCATGCTTGCTACTGCTTCTTGCTGTCTTACACCTTTTTCTAATATTACAGTTCTCTCTGTCTTCTGGGTCTAAGAGGTTCTCGGTGCAGGGACCATGGGTCCAAAGGACATGCCCCACTCCTGGCTCTTCTTTGTTGATGGTAGGAGGCCCCCTCTTCCTGCCTCTGGGATGGCACATTTTAAGCCCAGCAGTATGGCAAAACTGATTGATCTCCTTGTTAGGGTCCTAGACACCTTATTTGCCCTGTCCTACCCCCATAACCACCACTCGTCTGTCAGTTTTGTCTTTCTGTGATGGTTTGTGTGTTGCTGTGATTCTGGAAGCTATGCCATGGGTATTTTAAACACCAGCAGGATTGCTCATGGTGGACAGGCTTCAGATGAGCTTCGAGACGAAGACAGACTAGAAAGAAGGAGAGATGGACTACTTTCAAATATTTAATCACTGAAAATCTTATGAATAGCCGTGGAACACTGTCAGCACCAGATTAATGAATATTGAAATATGATGAAGGACAACAGAATATTGTCAGAGATAGTGCCAGATGAGCTCCTCAGGTTGGAAGGCACTCAAAATGCTAGTGGGAAAGAGCTTCCTCCTCAAAGTAGAGTTGACCGTGATGATGCAAGTGGAGTAAAGCCCTTGAAACCTTTGTTTGCTGATGGGGTACAACTCAAAATGAAGAGAAGCAGCTGCGTACATCCATTAATAATCGGAACATGGAATGTATGAATTATGAATCTAGGAAAATTGGAAATTGTCAAAAATGAAATGGAATACATAAACATCAATATCTTAGGTATATGTGAGCTGAAATGGACAGGTATTGGCCATTTTGAATCTGACAATCACATGGTTTACTGTGCCAGGAATGACACATTGAAGAGAAATGGTATCACATTCATCATCAAAAAGAACATATCAAGATCTATCATGAAGTACAACACTGTCTGTGATAGGATAATATCTATATGACTATAAGGAAGACCAGTTACTACTACTATTATTCAAATTTATGTACCAATCACTAAAGCCAGTGACGATGAAACTGAAGAATTCTACCTACTTCTTCAGTCTGAAATTTAACTAACATGCAATCAAGACATATTGATAATTACTGGCAATTGGAATGCAAAGATTGGAAACAAGCAGGAAGGATCAGTTGTTGGAAAATATGGCCTTAGTAATAGAAATGATGCTGGAGATTGCATGATTGAATTTAGCAAGACCAATGATTTGGTCATTGAAAATACCATTTTTAAACAATAAAAGATGACTATTGTTGATTGAAAATACCCTTTTTTAACAACATAAAATAAATCCAATTGATGACCTCTGTAGAAAGAGATGGTGGAAAATCTCCATATTGTCAGCCAAAACAAAACCAGGGCAGGCTGTGGAACAGATGATTAGTTACTCATATGCACACTCAGACTTAAGCGGAATAAAATGAAAACAAGTCCATGAGAGCCCAAATATGACCTTGCATATATCCCACCTGAAATTAGAGATCATCTGAAGAACAGATTTGATACATTAGACGCTAAAGACCAAAGACCAGAAGAGTTGTGGGATGACGTCAAGAACATCACAGAGGAAGAAAACAAAAGATCATTAAGTAAACAAGAAAGAAGGAAAAGATCAAAATGGATGTCAGAAGAGACTCTGAGACTTGCACTCCAGCATAGTCATGCTGAAACAAATGGAAGAAGTGAGGAGATACAAGAACTGAACAGAAAATTTCAAATGTCAGCTCAAGAAGATAAGTCCAATATTATTGTGAAATGTGCAGACTTGGAATTAGAAAACCAAAAGTGAAGAACATGCTCGGCATTTCTTAAGCTGAGGGAACTGAAGAAAAAAATTCAAACCTCAACTTGTAGTGTTGAAAGAGTCTATGGGCAAATTATTGAGTGATGCAGAAAGCATCAAAAGAAGATGGAAGGTCTAGGAGCAGAGGTCCCTAGGACTATCAACGGAGAAGAGCCGAGAGCGGGACCCTACCCAGAGAAGCAGTGATGCCTGAGATGGAGGCAGAGAAAATGACGTAGAGCGATGGAGCAGATGGGGACTTTAGATCCAGAGAGGGAGAGGAACTGTGTGCTGAAGACCCGGCGGGTGGGGTGGGATGGGGGGCAGGCTTGCAGGGTATACCCTTTGGTCGGTTGATGATGCATGGAGGAGATTGTAACCATGGCAATGAGACAATATACGATAGAATGAATGTAAAACTATTGTTCTGCCATGTAAAATATCACATAATTCACAATAAAACATTTAAGAAAAAGAAAAGAAAAGAAGGAAGGAATATGCAGAGTCACTAAGGTGCACCTTAGTCCTCAAACTGTTTGTTCTTAAACATTTTAAATAGGTCTTGTGCAACAGATTTGCCTAAAGCAGTATGTCACTTGATTTTTTGCTTACTGCTTCCATGAGTGTTGATTGTGGATCCAAGAAAAATTAAATCTCTGATAACATCAGTCTTTCCTCTGTTTATTATGATGTTATGTACAGTTGTGAGGATTTTTGTTTTCTGTTCGTTGAAGTGCAGTCAATACTGAAGTCTTTGGTCTTCATTAGTATTTTAAGTCCTCTTGGCTTTTGGCAAGCAAGGTTTATCGTCTGTATCTGTATATCACAGGTTGTTAATTAATCTTCCTCCAATCTGAATGTCACATTCTTCATATAATCCAGCTTCTCAGATTATTTGCTCAGCATACAGAGTATGATGAATAAGTATGCTGAAAGGATACAACCTTGACATAAACCTTTCCTGACTTTAAACCATTCAGTATCCCCTTGATTTGTTTTAACAACTGTCTCTTGGTATACATACAGGTTCTTCATGAGCACAATTAAGTGTTTTGAAATACCCATTCTTTGCAGTGTTATCCATAGCTTTTCATGATCTACACAGTCTTTTAGTGACTTTTATAGTCACTAAAGAATTATTAAACATCTTTGTAGTAGTCTCTGCTTCCAGCCAAGATCCATCTGATATCAGCAATGATATCCCCAATTCCATGTCCTCTTCTGAGTCCAGCTTGACTTTCTGGCAGTTCTCTGTTGCTGTAATGTTGCAACCATTTTTAAAAATTATCTTCAGCAAAATTTGACTTGTATGTGATGTTAACGATGTTGTTTGATGGTTTTCACTTTCTGTTTGGTCACCTCTCTTTGGAATGGGAACAAATAACGGTTATCTTCCAATCAGTTGGCTAGGTACCTGTCAGCCAAATTTTTTGGCATAGATGAGTGCCTCTAGTGCTGCATCAGTTTACATCTAAGTTGTCAAATTTATGTTCATGAAGTTGTTTATTGTATTCTCCTGTTACCTTTTGGATATTTCTAGGGTTGGTAGTGATACATCTGTTTCATTCTGATATTAGTAAACTCATCACTTTTCTTTTTCGTAGTCAATTTTGCTAGAGGTTTATCAATTTTATGAACGTTTTTTCAGCTTTTAATTTAATTGATTTTCTTTCTTTTATTTCATTGCTTCTGGTTCTTTTTCATTTTCTTCCTTTGTTTTATAATGTTCTTTAAGGCTTTTCTAAGTTCTCGAATGCTTCAATTTTTTACGAGACTTTTCCTCTTTTCCAATATAAGTATTAAGTGCTATAAATTTCCCTCTCAACACAGCTTTAACTGTGTCTCACAAATTGTTGTGTTAAATACATACATTTTAAAATTGTGGTAAACATATATATATATACATATATAACAAAGGATTTTTTGCATTTTAGTTATCTTGTATTTTTATTTTTGTTCCGCACATTGTGTTTGTTTCTTTTTTTCTTTCCTTTGAAACTTCTTTGATATATGGATTTTTAAAATAGTGTATTATGTAGTTTCCAACTGTTTGGAGATCTTCCTATTATCTTTCTTTTATTGATTTCTAGCTTGAATCCACTATGTTCAGAGAACTACTCATTATGAACTCAGTTCTTTTGAATTTGTTGAGATTTAGCTTATGATCCACTTGTTGTTAAGCGCCATTGAGTCTGTTCTGACTCATAGCAATTAGTATATGTTGCATAGGTGCTTTAAAAGAACACATATTATTATGCTATTGTTGGATAGAGTGTTTTATAAATGCCAATTAGAGTCTATTGGTGGGTGTTATTGAATTCTTCCATATCCTTTTAAGCTTTTGTAAAATTGCTGAGAGAGGTATTGAATTCACCAACTATAATTGCAGATTTTCCATTTCTTCTTTAAGTTCTATCAGTTTTTACTTTGCACACACATTTAGGATTGCTATATAGGAGTCCTGTTGTGGTACTGTAGGATGAGTACTGGAACCGCAAGGTTGGTTTGACGTACAAGATCAATGGTTCAAATCCACCAGCTGTTCCTCAGAAACCCTATACAGGGTTGCTGTGAGTCGGAACTGACTTGATGGCACTCAACAACAATAATACATATCTTGGCAGAGTAATTTTTTAAAATTTTTATGTAGTGCCCCTCTATGTCTGTTAATATTTATTACTCTGAAGTCTACTGTATCTGATATTTGGTTTATCTTTTATTTCCTGATTTTGTGACTTTATAATTGAAGCTGTTTCTCCCCTCATTTTCCAGGAATATATTATTCGAGTGCAGAGAGGAATTTCTGTAGAAAACAGCTGGCAGGTAAGTTTTTTTTCTTTATTTCCTTTTTAATGTCACTAGAAAAATATTTAAAATTGTGATCCAAAAACCTGCCTTCACACATCTAAAAATGTGGAAAAATAAAAATATGTATAAATATCATTATACTTCCCTTAGGTATAAATCTTGAGCTTTAAAGGTCCCCAGTTGTTTGGTCCAATTCATTTATTATGTTGCCTCTAAGAGTATCTGCAGGACACACAAATTCCTTGTTTTTCTTCCTAGAAATTCAGAACTCCTCTCCTGTAGTCAAGGCTCTGGGAGAAGAGGTTAGAGTTCAGCCCAGCAGGTGGAAAGGTGGGAAAGTACCCTGGAGAGTGCCAAGTCCTTTCCTGGGTAATTTCTAGTGCTGCCTCCATCAGTAATTCTGGGGGAGACATTTTCTGGGGGCCGAGTTGACTTTCCGCGATAGAGTAGTCTCAGAGAAAAAAAACCCCACCTACCCAGCCTTAGAGCTCCATCCCATCTTGGTTGCTTTGCCAAGGATGGGTGGACTTTGCATAGGGGCCATTTCTCCCCCTAACCCCACTGAACTTGTAAAATCTTACCTTGTCATTTGCAGCCCAAATCAAACCGTACGTGCCACCCCACTGATCACAGTCACCCCTCAGTTGGTCTTTTCTTTCTCTGAAATTTTAACTGTATTCGGAGTAGTTATAATATTTAACATATGCTGTTGTTGTTCAGTCGATTCTGACTCATAGTGACCCTGCATAGGATTTCCTGGTGGATTTGAACTGCCAAACTTGTGGTTAGCAGACCAGTGCTTATCCTACGTTGCTACATCAGGACTCCATTTACATAGATTAAGTATTTATTAAGTGGTAGATACTGGTCACACTCATTAATTTATCATATTAAAAATAGCCCTATGCGACAGGAAAAATACAAAACAGTATAGGCAGACTGACTGATTACTACAAAAACAAGCAAGTTGTTC